GATTAAATTTTGTTATTACAATGCCTAAATTGCATGATAATTCATTTAAATTAGTTTTATTGGCCTAATTCACATTGGTCTTATATCTAGTAACATATGTAAAGAAATGTTAATAACATATTAATCGAAGGTATTAAAACCAAGATGATGCGGCCTTTTGTATGGTCGCAATCTTCTTTCGTTTTGTGGAAGTTGTTTGTTTTTGTTTTCGCAACTTAATCATATTGGCAGGAATACCTAGAGGAATGCACCTCATCCGGGACCACGTCCACGGTCCGATTTTGAAAATTATCATGCATACTATGGATCCCGGATTAGGTGCATTCCTCTAGGTCTTCCTGTTAATATGACCAAGTTGCGAAAATAAGGTCAAACAACTTCCTTAATATAATATTGCCTATATTGGCTGTCGAATCCTTTAGTCAATTATTATTGGTTATGATGACTGAACATATCCTTAAAAGACAGGGTCAATTTTTATTAGACCATTTCTAAAAGCATATAGAAGATAGGTGAAGTGGTGTAGAAATTAAAGGCGAAGGGTCCTTAAACTCAACAGGTAGAGGGACAAATAACTAACGCACTAATAAAGAAATAAGTTGTCCAGGTTGAAGTCCGAGTTCTGACAGGGTTCGACTCTGGTCTGATGCACTTTTCGACTTATCCGCTAGCTGTGCGCCCGTCTCGGGCAACGCTCTCAGTGAGTAACTAGTCCTAGAGCTGCATGCCGCAAAAGAGGCGGACACGGCAGGGGACACAACATTGTTGGACGAGTATAGCTCATCCGTTTGTCCTGGGAGATAAGTAGAATTGAAGGAGTTTGGATGCCCCGACGCCGGAGGTTTGGGTTTTTCTGCGATTGTGGTTTGAGAAACAGAAGTGAAAGATGAGACCGGAGAATCGTGGCAAGCACTCGAGAGGTGGAGCGAAGGCGAAGGCAGAAGCGAGGGAAGACAGTTCAATTCAATTAGTAAGGCTTCCAGACAGATGGGAGAGTTTAAGGATGACGGTTTGTTCGAAGAAATATTGCCATCCGAGTCAATATCACGAATGGAATGACTTCTAAGCCGTTGTTGGCCATATTCAGTAAGAGAACAGAAATCTGCACTGTCGCTACCTCGTGCCTCATTCTGCTCATCTTCGCGACCAGTGGTCGGCTGCCATAGCTGTGCAATGGGTGGAATGCCCGTAAGTACTGCCATATGCTCACGCAACTGGCCTATTCGGCTGTCTGGCTGCAGGAGTAGTCGATGCGGCTGACTCTGGAAGCCTGAAACAAAGGAATTTTCAGGTTGTCGATTGGTAGTAGTTCGGGAACCATTTTTTTCACGGCAGCACAAACTGCTACTACTGGTAGAAGTGGAGGTAGAGGTGAAGTTTTTTTGCTGCAACACGGTCACGGGGTTTCTGATGTTCCCAACGATATTGCCAAATTCAGACACCTCTTCTGATTTCATATTCCTGGGTCGTCTTGAACCAGTATTAGAGTCCCCCAAAGTGGCTGACTTTGCGACGAAGACACGAAATTCAATCGGCATAAGTGGAGTTTGGCAGACAGAGCTGGGCTCAATCGCCTTCGGGCTAAACGAAAATGAATGATGTCTTTATAATAACATTATAAATAGATTTGTGCAATCATATTTTTTTGACCCAAAAAACGACTGGTTCTATTATATTATAAGTGAGCTTGTCAAGGAACAATAGTTGGACGTCAGAAGGCCTGCTCAAGCATGACTATATAAGGAAAGAGATGACACCCCAACCAAGCAAGCTATTACTTTTACTTGAAAAAAAGGTATAATTAAAGGGGCTAATAATGTGGATTAATTATAAAAGGAAGAAATGGTCATATAATTAGATAAGTTAAATAAAATAATTAGCACAGTAACCAATAATAATCAATAAAATGTTGGGGAAAGAAGCATAATCATTGCGTCACAGCTACGCACCAAAATTCCAATCCTCATATTTAAGTCGTTCTTTATCGGAGACTTAATATTGAGTTCGTGTGAGTCGGAAGTACAACTCAATTAATAGAAGTGGGTTGAACTCGTTGTCGCAACTTGGTCTTGTTTTCAGGGAGACTATGTAGAACGCACCTAGTCCAAAGTCGTCTGCCATAGTAGTTGTCATGATTCCCAGCATCTGACAGTGAACTTGATACATTCTCAAACGTTTCTCCGGTATCGTAGTCGGCATCATCAGTGAGTTTTGCCGTTCGCCGCACCAAGCTACGAACTCGTCAGAGACAAATGAAGCCAATCCTTCGACAAACGTTCTGCTGAAAACGGTTATACTATCACTCCCACTTCTATAAATCGAAAAGAGACTGTGACCACACCGGAGGCCACAACATCTTGGTTTTCATATATTCAACTCAATTAAGTTACCATGGGCTTGTATCTAAGATTAAAATGCTTCAAGTGATGCATTAGGATTTAACCTTGCCATACCTTATTGGCATTTCACAGCTTGTCATGGCGTCTTTCTAACAAGGTCTACGAAGTTTGATCAAAATATTATTTCTTTATAGTTCATATATACAGGATGCATGCTTATGAGCAAAAGAATGAATCCCTCATTGTAGAAATATCAGAATATCAGTCTTGAACAAAACATATCAGTAAAATGGATGCAGAGTAAATCATATATACGAAGAGAAGAAGAGGAAAGGATCTAAAGGTCAGTTAAGCTAGCTCGCTCTTAAGAAATATGATTAAAACTCAGAAAGCATA